TAGCCCCTTAGAGGCCTGGCGTTTGCTGCTCTGAACCATCGGCCTCCTGGACTCTTTCTTTGTTGGTAATTGTTTTGTACAGGTTTTAGGTTTTATGTAATTGTATATTTATTTATTGTTTTAATGAGTTGTGAGCCGCCCAGAGTGCCCCATTAGGGGGAGATGGGCAGGGATAAATTTAATAAATAAATAAATAAATAAATAAATAGTTGCATTTTATTTTGGGGTTGAATAACTATAGGTATTGTGTCCAGTTCAGACAAACAGGTTCCAAGAAGAGCATGTGGGATCATCAGGGGACTTTATATTCTATGCTCAGAGGAATTGGGAACATTTCACTCTTAGAAAAGAGGACTCTTTGCAAGTACTAGAAAGGATGTCACACAGATTTTGCAAGGACTAAAGCTGGCAAAGGTGGAAGCCAAGAGCCTGAGATCAGACGTGGTGGTCATCAAAATACAGGGTAGGCACCCTCCACTTCTAAGGCTGAGAAGAAGTGACAAAAAATCCATTACTAAGTAAGTGGGGGGAGAAAGAGATTCAAGAAATAAACCCTGAAGCCCTTATAAACAGAGGACTTGATTCTGCAGAGCTGAACTTCATTATTGGGGCTTCTTGTGTCTGGAATAAATGCAACATCTATCTGAGCTTTGTCCTTGACCACAGGTGTCCACAGGGTACAGTCAAAAAAGTCAAGATGGTGGTTGCAGTGGTGTGATTAAAACCCCACCTGGTTTTTATGTGCCCTTAGGTGGACTTTTGATCCCACCCTGGCAATCACCACCTTGACCTTTCTGACTACACTTTGTGGATATCTCTGCCCTTAATTCTTTGCTGCTAGCTCCAAAGTGTGGATTTGAGCTTCTAGGGATAAATTTATTGCCCGGTCCCAGGTGAAAGCCAGATAGAAGCAGGCCAAGACCTTTTCTCCATCATCTCTGTCAGCAGAACACAGTTTTAAGTTAGAGGAAATCAGATTTTGGTGGATTGTTAGGAAGGTATTCCTAGCAATAAGAGCACTTGGAGAGTGGAACCCATCCCAAGAGAGTTAATGGGCTCTTTAAGGAGATGCACCCAAGCACAGGGTGGACAACCATCTGATCGGGATGCTTTCATCTGGATTCCCGCAGCGAGTCCAGGATTGGACTACACGATTTAAACTCTGTGTTCTACCCATTCCTTGGGTGACTCTTGCTTCCTCTCTCCCTCAGGAAGGGGGGCCCCTCAGACAGTACTTCGTCCATGGGTCCTCCTCTGGTTTCTTTCGTGGACTTGCCGATCACCCCCGTCAGAGCAGCCGTAAGCACAGGGCAGGCTGCAGAGAGACGGGGCGGCTGGGCGGGGGCGCACAGGTGCCCGAGGCGAGCAAGAAGGGAAGCAGAGTCGCTGTCGTCGTCGTCCTCGGAGGAGGAGGAGGCAACGGGAGGGCTGCCTTCGGAGATCCCGCCCCTGGAACGGGCTGGCTGGGCTTCGGGAGAGAAGAAAGCGCGTGGACGAGGAGAGGAGAGGAGAGAAGAGCACGCTCGGCGCTGGAGAGCCGGAGACGGAGCGGGGCAGGTCGCCTGGCGGAGGAGCGAAGTGAGCGGGACGGTACCTGCAGAAGGTGGCCGGAAGGCAGCCGGGGCTTGGGAGCCCGAAACAGAAGGGGCGAGAAGAGGCTCCGGAGGCAGGCAGGCAGGCAGCGAAGGCAGGCAGGCAGGCAGGGCAGGAGGTGCCGCCGGCGGAGCAACGGCGGGTCCCCAGCTGGGGCGCTCGCGGGGCAACTTCGATGTTGGAGTCCCGGAGCAGCGACCCGCGCTGGCGAACCCTTCCAGGCGGCGTAGCAGGGGAGCCCCGCTGAGGAACCGACGGGGGCAAACGCTACAACGGCGACAGCAGCAGCAGCAGCAGCAGCAGCAGCAGCATGCCCTTTTCTTCCGGCTTCGACTGAGGCGGGATGAGGACCCTCCCGTTCCATCTGGGCAAGACGCTGAGGAGAAGGTTTCGCCTCCTGCTGCTCTTTGGGCTGCTGGCCGTGGGGCTCTGCGCAGCCTACCTGGAGCTGGTGGTGCTGGCCGACAGGGATGGACACCCTCTGAACCGCAGTGAGTTAGTCGGCGGGCCGGGCGGCGGGGTCCTTCCCGGCCGAACTAGGGCCGGGCCGGCCTGTTCCTTACAGGCGTCACCTTGGCTTAAAGCTGCAGAGCATTTATCTTGCCTGGAATCGCTTTTCAATCCTGTCTTTAGAAATCCCACAGTCTTAAGCCCAGAGCGCACTTGGGCATGTGTCCTGAGCCACAGGAAGCCCCGGATCTCCGCCCATCTAACTGCAGGCTTGCAGAACTCCACAGGTTGGCACTGGGGGCAGGTGGCGGCGTTGTCTGTGTCTGTAATGATGGGGTAATTGTACAGGCCCCACCAGCACTTCACCGCAGCCAACATATGCCATGGCAACATCTTTTTTTCTGCTATGTTCCCATATGGTTGCCTTCATCTACTTCCCAGGCCAGCAATGAGACAGCCTTAAGTCATCCTTCCCTGTATTACTAATAACACTTTTCCCTTTATTATGACAGTCCAAAGGATGACCTTGAGGTGCATGCTGTCGATTAGATCTGTCAGCCACCCCTTTTCTGGGGCAACTGGGAACAGTGGCAAGGATGGTAATTGGCAGTGAATTTCTTGCTAGTATAACTTTTGTCAGTCCAAGGATGGGTGGTTATTACTTCATGCGAGCAGTGGGGGAAAGGCCCACAGTAAGGCTTAATAGGCAAATGTAAATGTAAGTATGCACAATATTTAGGGTGCTTCTAATGTGGAAATGCCTATTATATGGTGCACTAGACCCCTATATTATCATTTCATTTAAAATTAGGCAGAAATATGAGGATTAATCTGGACAAGTGCCTAGCATACTTGTTCCTTCAAAGATTCTGCATGCACAGTTAACTGAAAAAGGGAACCAAAAATGTTGACCATGTTAAAGGCTGGAGTTGTTGTCTGGAGTTAAATGTTTATTCAATCCTATTTTCAGCAAGTGGATACCCAGGGTACCGTTAGTTACCATCAAGTTGGGCTTAACCCTAACAAATACCATCTTAATGTGTTTCTGGTGACAGTTCTGTAGCTCTTCCATGAACTTTTCAGTAATCTCTTTGATTCTGTCCATCTATCTTACCCATTGTCTTCCATTCTTCTGCTTCCCTCAGCTAAGCAGAATAGCTTTTACTTGTCTGTCATCTGTTCATATCACATGCCCATAGTATGCAGGTTTCCGCCTGTTGAACATCACCTCAAGGGAGCAGTCAGTCTTTATTTTTTCCAGGACTGATTGATTGGTTAATCTTGTGGTGTATGGTATTCTTATTAGCCATGTCCATAACTGTAATTCAAAGATGTATTTCTTCTTACTCTGTCTTCTCAATGTTCTACTTGCAAAGTGGAAAGATAATTGCTTTATGAACTCTGATCTTCCTTGTCATAGGAGTAACCTTATTCTTCATAATCTTATCTAAGTTTGTCACTGCCTTTCTCCTATGATTAATCTCCTCTTTGCCTCTCTAGTACACTGTTCATATTTCTTGAGCTCCCAAAAGCCATCAACTATGAATTCACTAAGCATACTGGTTGATATTACCTTTGTCTTCTCAGTATTTAACATTAACCCAAATTCTTCACATTCCATTTTAATCTTATAATGGACTCTTCTAAGTTGTCTTTATTTTCAACGAGGAAAGTGTATCATCTGCCTATCTCCAACTGTTAGGGTTTTAGCCACCAGTTCCGATTCCCGCTGTCACCTTTTCCAGTCCTTCCATTCTTATAATGCATTTGCTCTACACGCTCAACGAATATGGGGACAATATGCATCATTGTGTCTCTCCCTTCCATCTTCTGAACCACTCTGTTCTTCAAACTCAGTTCTTAGAGTAGCTTTTCATTCCTTATTTTAATGTTAATTTAATTATAAATAAATAAATATAAATAAAATACTTATTCTTTTCCTACTTTTTCGTTTTCATTGTTTTTCTTTTTCTTTTTAAGGAAACAATTGCATCAGCTCTTTCAGTCTGTCTGAGTTGAAACTGAATGTGTTGTACATGTTTAAGTGAACAGTATGCTGTGTAACTTTTTACTGCTGACTTGCAATTTTACTGCCGGCTTTTCCATTGACTCTGCTTGTGAGAAGCCAGTTGTGAACCACACAAATGGTGATCACATGACTGTGGGACACTGCAATGTTTGTAAATGCCCACCAGTTGCAAAGGGCCCAAATCTTGATCATGGGACTGTGGAGATGCTGCAATAGTTGTAAGTGCAAGAACTGGTTGTAAAGTTTCCTTTTCAGAACCATTGTAACTAAATGGTTGCTAACAGGCAGTCATTAAGCAAGGACTACCTGTATAATACATAAAGCCGAGAGATGGGTCACCTCTTTAATGCATTTGTGGTTCCTTCAAAGTACACTAGTCCAAATGCAGCCCATTATAGGTGAATTGGCCATCCACTGAAGATAGCGGGGTTCAAGGGTAGGATTTTATAATTTTAGAAATAGACAAAGACTAAACCATATTTTCTATCCATGGAGATCAGTGAACCATGGAGACTGAGTTCATCCATTGTACCAAGCCATCAAGTCATTTATTTGGTTTGGGTTTAGTGTGTTGTAGTAGCATGTTGTAGGAATCCAGCCATTACAGTTTATGGTTTATGACTTAATGGCCTGTGAGCTTGGACAATTGTGATTTATTCAGTGAATCATGGTTAATTCTAAAAGGTGGTTGTCATCATGCCCAGGTCATTAGATGAGGTAAAAACTTAAAGGAGGATCTATAGCAGAAAGGAAGGCACAAAGCTCAGCATTTCCTTCCATCTGCTGTTCAACAGGTAATAGGAATTGTTATCTGAAGAGTTATTATTGGTCAAAATACAATATTTTCCCATGTGTGTGATGGGAATTGTAGTCTAATGTATTTGGAAGGCTTTGCATTGGTGGATGTTCTACTAAATGATGGCTTATAATTACATTCAAGTTTAAACCATATTTTTGTCATCTTAGTCAGGATGACTAAAGAGAAAAGCTATCTGTAAACAGTTAGATCATTTTATCTAGTCATCTGCATGATTGGATAACGGCCCATGTTAGTGATTTGTGAATACAGACCCAGACATTCAGGGAAAACCCCAGAGTACAGGGGATTAAAAATGGACAATTTGATCCCTCTGCTTAGGGAAAAGAAGGGCAGGGCATTCCTTGACCCTATGGCATCCTGGTCTATTTCTATTTCGGTAACTACTTGTCCTCCAACCAAGAACAGGAAACCATGATTTAGAGTGAGGTCAACTAGGTTGGAAACAAGTACACAAATGCCTTCAGGAGATTTTTTAAAAAAAGCAAAGAATTTTCTCATAATGATCAAGTAAAGATAGTATTTGTAAATAAGTATTTCCTAAGTATAGGAAACAAGACCTTTGTAATATGCTCTTTTGATAAAATAATACAGGCTTATGGTACATAAATATTTAACAAATATATTGCATAACTCTTTGAGACATGAAGTTTATACTTAGTTCATATTTTGTCATAGTAAATGTGCTCTTTGCAGCTATTAAAATTAATATAGAAAGTTCATGTAAATTGAATCTTGAAATGGGAACATAATATTAATAAATTCAGGGAGGGGGAGATACCTAAAGTGTAAATGCCCTTTAATACAGAAAACGTATTTATAGATATTGCTTGCTTAAAATGGTTTCTGTAAATATGGGTATTGTTTATTGTCTATTATTCTCATATCAAAGTTTTGGCAGTGAAATATAGCATGAGAAAAATCAATCAGATGTTTCTTATAATGTAATAAAATAATATTTTCCCAATATAAAACCTAAATGAATAGTACAGTAATTTATTGTAACTGTTATAATGCATCTCTGTTACTAGTTCTGCATTTGTGTGTTGTATATGAAAGTGATACATTTGTCGTCATTCTATCTGAAAGAAAATAGAATAGAATAGGACTACTTTTTCAAATTCTGGTACAATTACATAAGGAGGACAGAGCAATGTGGATGAAAGAAAATCTACACAATTAAGATAGATTCAAATATAATCTGGTTATGTCTTCTCAAATATTATTATGATCTAATCATTCTAAGCGGTTGAATATGATAAAGTCTGTGCAACTTAGAAGTCCTTGTTTGCTGTATGTGTGTCTGTTTGTGTGGACCAGTAACCAACTACCATCCAATAACCTGCCTCCCCACAACATGGAAAGTCCTATCAGGCATCATAGCTGCCAAGCTACAGGACCATATGGACCAGTACATGAGCACAGCTCAGAAGTGCATTGGGAACAACACCAGAAGCTCAAAACACCAGTTGCTCATAGATAGAGAAGTCACCTAAGAGTCAAGATCTAGACAGACCAATCTGAGCATAGCCTGGATTAACTACAGGAAAGCCTACAACTCAATGTCACATCCATGGATCTGTGAATGCCTGGCACTACACAAAGTCAACAGGACACTAATGACCTTCCTCAAGAACTCAGTGGG